GTCAAGAATAATACAGGGAAGTTAAATGTGCCACAAGTTTATATTTAGTAGTTTAACCATTTGAGCACCATTATTTTTCTTGCCAACAATTTGGTGAACTTTGATCAACTTGGACTGAATGGGCATAATTTGCTACAGATCTTATTCTTGGACAAAATTTGTGACAAATGTAATATATTTTATTTTGTCAATGAGCACGAAAGTTGACTTTGGCACTCAAAGGTTGCATCAAATCTGATCTGGTAAATGACAGAAGAGACTTCAAACTGTAAAGATTACTGTATTTTCCTTGCTACAGATGATTTGTGTTGTTTTAATGAGTGTTTAAATGACTTAGACATTTTTTTTTATAATATTTAAATATTTGTACTGTAATTTCATGCAGCAATAAAATATGTATATAGTCGTGATATAATTTATTTTTGAGCTACAATTGTCATTTCCCAAACATTTGAGTTATTTCTGTCTGTTCTACAGAATGATCTGCAGACTTGATTAGTTTCTGGATCATTTCTATTTACGGTATATTAAACAGGTTCAAATTTAGGATTATATTTCATGTACATGATACTTTCATTACTGTGGATTTATACTATCAGGATACTGAAAAAAATGGGGTAACCGCCACTAGTCCGAAAATCATAGGAAAAGTTTGAAATTTTCCCTTTTACAAAGATAATTATGGTGGGATTATTTTTTCATATTTCAGTTTCACTTTGTGGCCTGAGATGAAAAACTTACAAATCTTAATATTATTTGAATGGTTGACATATAATTTTGGCAGATTCAAGGCAATTGTTTTCAGTCCTGAGATCTGTCTTCGTGGAATGATATGGTTCGTCCTTTTTCTAGGGGTGATAGAAGCAATGACATCCATTCCATGAAATGTCCCTTTGTCGTCAATAGTGATAATGGTGTGATCAATGGGGATGGAAACAGGAAAATGATCAGTTAATTCCAATTATGACCCCAAAAAATGCTGCGCCTGACAAACTCTTGAAAATTATCCATTGCAACTGTTTGGTGGGATGCAGCTGCAGACGCTATGGACTCCCCTGCACTGCTGTATGTGGCCCTTGCCAAACTGAAAACTGTTACAACCACAACAACACTCAAGACGTTGATACTGAGGAAGAGGATGATACTCAAAACTGAAAACTCTGAAACTTATTCCACGGACAAAGGTGTTTGTGCAATAGGTAATAGTGGACAGCTGAAGGTCATGAATTTAATTTCATAATGATTCAATAGCTCAGTGATATCCAAAGTTCTCTTAATGTGTTCCTTGCCCCAAAAAACCTGGGGATAGACATCAAGATTATCACATTTGTGTCAATAGTTATGAACTTGCGGTCATTTGGAGGTGTTGGCAGCCATTTTTGACGCCATTTTGGATTTTTGTGTTACATAATAAGCCAACATCATTTTGTATGATCTTAATGTGTTCTTTGCCCCTGAAAACCTAGGTATAGACACCAAGATCATGAAATTTGAGTTGATAGTTACAGAGTTATAATCATTAAGAAGTTTCGGCGGCCATCTTGGACGCCATCTTGAAAAAAAACACTTTTCCGGGGGTCCTACTTTGGTAAACTTTCAGTATGTTAAAAAGTACACTAACACGTACTGGAATCAGTTGAAAACCCTTTTGTAGCAATTTTTTGGGGGTTAAACTCTATTTTAACCTAACTATAATGTAATTATCTCAAAGCTTGATAACTCCTTGACAGCAGTTTATCATACTTAACTATTTTTTTAAAGTATCGCTTTCCTTTTAGCATGAATCAGAAAATATACAAACTTTTGAGTCTATGCAAAACTGCTAACACAACAGTTGGACCAATCGGCAAACAGTTTGTTTATTGACCAATCAGTGAACAGCTTGTTTGTTGACCAATCGGCAAACAGTTTCTTTATTGACCAATCAGTGAACAGCTTGTTTGTTGACCAATCAGTGAACAGCTTGTTTGTTGACCAATCGGAAAACAGTTTGTTTATTGACGAATCAGTGAACAGCTTGTTTGTTGACCAATCAGTGAACAGCTTGTTTGTTGACCAATCGGCAAACGGTTTGTTTATTGACCAATCAGTGAACAGCTTGTTTATTGACCAATCAGTGAACAGCTTGTTTATTGACCAATCAGTGAACAGCTTGTTTGTTGCCAGGTTTTGCCTTATATGTTTTATATGTTTATATATGTTTTAACTCAAATTACACTTTGCGGCATTTCTAACAATCCTGATTATTCTAAACATTTACTGCTGCTGTGTTTGCCTGTTACTACAACATAATGTGTTGCCTAGCTGTTTGATGCTGTCATCTTTAGAGCCGGGGAGTCTTCACCTGAGCCTTTGCGTTGTTAGCGTGTGTTGTTATTGTCGCTTGGGACTCAGGTGACGCTTTAAAAAAATGGCATGTGTGCCAATTGGGACAAGGAGCATTCTGCCAGCTTTGGTGAGTCTATTTCTTCACCAGCAGAATGCACTGACCATTTAATTATACTGTCTAAACTACCTATGGCATCATAATGTGGTTTGTCATCGTTTCTATTACAGTCTAATTTCACGCTTATGCTCACAGATATTCAGACAGTGGTATGCAATGTCTGACAGGTGTGCGCACTGGAATGACATGAGAAACCAGTTTCACATGCTTCGGTGTATTGTCGGGCCTGGTAATTAGGTCACCGACTTGGGTAACTTTCCGTTTTATGGGGTCAAAGATGGGGAAAAAGTGCAATTGCGTGTGAATGCCCCCCGGGGAAGTCTGGATAAGGTGACAGCCTTTGTTCCACACACCTGCTACTAGGAACAGCACAAATGTCTGATAAATAAAGTTTCTATTTGACCATGGAGCTCCATGGTTCTACTATAAACATGCTGGATCAGAACAGAATATGAGATGGGTGGTACTCTGTCAGTGTTTTAAATGTTAACACATGCCTGCCCTCAATGTGCATGACGATGTGTCATAGTACAATGTATGTGTACTGTGTATATAACTAAAATCCAGCACAGGTAGTAAAACACATCCATACAATTGTTATTCAAATAATGTTCAATAGAAGTGCACCGTGTTTCATAAAAAAGACGTCAATTTGTTTATGGCCCTTTATAAATTTATATAACGAACGATCTTCATGCTTCATTCAAATTCATTCTTTGATTGTAGAAACAACTTGGTAATGCCCATTATACATGAGTCTTTGCAATCATTGGCAGATTTACTGCCATGAACTGAACATGGATACTATTAAATTTGTTAACGTTTGCAATTACAGTGATTTGTTCACTGAAATTAATTTAAGTACAAATAGTACATTATCGTTTGGCAGAGCCACCCCCACTTTTTTAAATGGTCGACCCCTTAAATGTTTTAGATAGTTGTGATGGTACAAAGATTGAATTACACAGAATGCACCAACATTGCACTGCTGCAATTCGAAGTATGCAACAAACACTTAACATTTATAGTAGAACGTTATCATATTTGTAATATATAATACCAATGAGACTGAAATAAGTAATTGGCAGTACAAATGTAATGTGTTATTCTGGTATAAGGCGAGTGTGATCTTGCCACAAGAATTAGAAAACGTAAGAAGAACGCAGTCGTTTGTTTTGTGTTCTTGAACTTGTAAATGACAGTGTAGTGTACAAGTCAGTTTTTCCATAGTTTTCAATCATTTGTTTTGTCTTCTTGGACTTGTTAATTTCCCCCTACGGCTTTTGTTAAAGGATCTACGGTTGGATAAGTTATTTCCACGTTTCCATAACACCCAAACGTTGTAAAAAGTTAAGA